ATCTTTTAATAAAAATTATTACAATTATTTTCAAATATTTGGCATTTATTAACGATAAGTTCTTTTAAGTAAATGGATTTTTTGAAAAAAGCATTTTCCCGGAATTACACGCGACATGCGAATTTCACAATTTTCGTTTCAAATCGTTTCCATTTGCGCGAGTCTAGATCTAATAAAGTCGTCCAAAATATGTACTCCATTCGCCTAAAATTCCAAAACGCCTGGGGAACCGTAAACTTTTTCAAATTTTAAAAATCGTAGACAAAAGATACGAGAGTCGCAGGTCTCGAAAATGAAAAAAGCAAAACGAATGTTGCACGGGTCAGCGTAGCTGAAGGGCGATAATATTTTATGGACGAATAGTGCGATTCGCACGAAATAGTGAAACTTGGATAAATATGGTAACATTGGTAGCTAGACAGGAAGAATTTGTCCCGTCGACGTGTGCGCTTCGTCAAATAAGATTATATCGTAAACGTCGTTGATTTTCTTTTTTATAAGAAGTATTCCGTGTAAAAAGATCTTCGCATCGAGTGTAAAATTTGAATTTAAATTTAATTGAAATTTAATGAAAATGAGACTATTGGAATCATACAATTTTGATTTCCTTTAAAACGTATACTTTAATATACGCGGGATGGATAAATTTCACAAATTTAAATTTAACAAAATCGCACGAATATGATGATAATCTTCGAACGAGCGTAGAAATCGTATAATTATTATCGAACTCGAAAAATTCAATATATTTTTAATCGCGAGTCGAACGGTACACGTGTATTGAAAGAAGAGATAATTTGAATCACGGTGAGCAAGAATGCCAGACACGAATCCGATTTCGCGAGGCGCGGCCACACAATTGGATAGGTTTTGAGAAAATCGAGTTCCACGCCATGCGAAATGGAGGAAACGGATCACGTGTTGCGGACGTTGCATCGTGCAATTGCGGCAATGAATCGCGTTTCAACCGGAAGATAAATTGGTATCGATCGTGGCCTTTCCCGTGGGGTGACATTATCAAATTTTTCTTGCTCGATATAGCTCTCTCTCTCTCTCTCTCTTTTTCTCTCACTTGATCATACGTTTTAACGGTTTATCGACCCGTCGAAATCGAAACCAATAACGTACCAATTGAAGAAATATTACGTGGACACGTTTTGGCGCGTATAGTTTTCGAGTCGATTCGCCTCGATTCGATATCGATTTGATCTATGAGAATGCTCTTGAATCATCCGGGTGTATAGGAAGAATTCCTTCGGTCATTCATTGAACTTTGAATGCAGCTTCCTTTTAATCGAGTTTCGAATTGAAGTTGCAACGATTAAATTTGTAAAAATAATTTTATCGTTAATTATATCTATTTTTTCTTATTATAAATTTAATCCTTTGCGAAATTCAATTTATCAACTAGTATATTAAAATTTGTAATCGGCTCGATCGATTCGAGCTTCCATCAAAAAAATTAATCCTCGAAAAATTGTGCAATTAATTTGATCGAAACTGGATATCCAAAATGAATAGCGTATTTATCAAAAAAATTATAGATTCTTCTTGCGTTCGCGAAGAATTCTGAAAATTTTATTATTATTATTTTTATTTTTATTATTTATATATATATAACTAGTCACCGCAGAGAGAATCCACGATGGAAACTACGAAGACAGAAATGGCAGACCTAACCCAGATCCGAACGTAGCAGTGGTCTATAGCGGTCTAATCTTAGCTCGACGTTCTTTTAATCGTTGTGAACGAGGGTTACGATCGTCCTCGAGTACCGCGCGCGAAGAAAGATAGCACCCTTGAGCTTCGTTCCAATATCTCGTCAAGGTCGTGTTCTCCGACGTCGCCTCAGGTGACGCGTATTACGGTCACCGTATTAGGAATGGCTGTCAGCGTTATTTCTTGGACCGCCGGAAGAGAGAAACTTCTTGGAAATATGGCGGCTTGACGGCGTGTCTTGCGGAAGATGAATGGCCCTCGCGCGACACTCTGTTTCTCTGCTTTCGTAGATTACGTCGAGGGCAAAAATCTTGTTTCAAAAACGGATAATATACGGAGAAGAGTTTCTTGTTATATCTCTATTTTCTCACAGCTCCACTTAAATATTTATGTTTCGTTTGTACCTTTAATTTTGTTGTTCGTTTTGATTATTCGAGGGTATATAAGAGGATGGTACGTCTTAATAATATTTCATCGATACATCTATTTTATGCTTTCATAACTGCTTTTTTCTTTTCTATCATTTCACTAATACTTTTTATTTGCTTTTTAAATCCATCCACATTAAGGGCTTCTTCGATTTTCGATATTTTTTTCAGATTTGTTCCAAGATTTGTTTCAGAACTAGTAATGAAGCTAGTATTTGTCATAATCGATATCGATAAAAATTCAAAGTATTAAACACGAATAAAACAACGCCTTGATTAATGTTTAATCGATTTTCAAGCATCAAGTTGTAAACAATGATCGGATTAATGGATCTAGTTGAAATAATATATATCAACCATATATATATATGGTACTCGAGTAACAAGCCAAATAAAAGCTTAACTGGATGATAGCCAATTCTTCTAATATATGTTTGTTTATAACAATATGAGCAATATATATAAGATGATATTCTTGATTATAAATAGTCTTCGTGCGTAATATAAAGCCATGCGTCGATGTTATTTATCGAATCTTATTACGTCATTTATTTCTATTAACGTAGTATTATCTTATTAATAAATTAATACAATGATATAATTAATAACGTAACATATGCCACGAATAAAAAGACTAAATAAAGACATTCGATATTTAAAATAAATACAATTACCTAATCCTAAGTATCCATTAGCCTGTCCTCTTCTCCTTTTCAAGAAATAATTTTAAAAAGTTCGTAACAAGCGATCTACGAGTCAAAACTGTTCGAAACACATTCGAACGATTTCTGGAACGGATCAAAAGTTCAGTTTCGAATTCCGTTCTCGATACACCGCGATCTGTGGCAATGTAAAAGCATTCGATAAAGATACTCGAAATGCCAATATTTTTAGACTAGAATTACATTTCCATCGTCTCGAAATAAACCTGAATGCTGGGAATATCGATATCATTTAAGTGTAATAGAATCTTCGAAACAAGTCACGAAGCATCGCCAGTGGTTCCAGCATCGAGCGATCATTACTCTCCAGACTCTTGACCATCCTTGATCAAAACTGTCGTAAAACTCGCGAGGAACGTGACCCTGTAGAAGGGACGGGGCAAAATGTCGAAGGTGAAAGCCGTAATCGATGCGGTTGATCGCGAATCTCCGATACTGTTGTCGCCGCGGAAGAATAAAAGTACTCGAGGGTTTTTCGAGTAATAAGTAGGATGGGGTGTTTTTCATCGGCGCTAACCACGGGCCGCCGTTGGCATAATTGACCCAAATGTGGCGCAAAAATAGCGGATCATAAATTACACGGGCGGAACGGGAGTGCACTTGACACGGCCCTGTCGCGACACGGTCAACGAAGCCCGGAGACGACAGACGACGATGGCAGAAAAAGAGGGTTCCATTCAAGGTCACTCATTCTTCCGCCGCGTCCTCGTTTCGAGTGGTGACAATCGGGGAACTAGCGCCACAGTCGTATTACAAAAGGGCCTCTGCTCGCGTGGGCTGCGAGGGAAAAACGCGAGAAATCGTGGTTGATTCTCCTCATCGATCGCGTATTTTCCTTTCTTTCTTTCTATCTTTTTTCTTTCTTTTTTTTTCTTTTTTTTTTTTGTTTAAGTTTCTTTGAAGGCAGAATTTTGAGAAATTTGGAAAACGTAAATTCGCGCGAGGAAAATTGTGATTTCTCGAGATAAACGACGAGTCGAAGTGTCGAATAACGTAACGAATTGTGCCAATTATGGTATGGTGTGGTATTTCTATAAAATTTCATGCTTGATTTTCAAGCGTCAATTTCCATTGTTATTAATAAAATGATTTAGGAATTCAAACGATTTCAACAATATGCGGAATAGACAATTTCATGCTCGATTTATCCTATTTCAATAACATTTCATTGTTTCTCCATTATCGATAGCCAAGTTTGGAATTTAGAACGCTTGTCCATTCATACGTTCTTCGATAAAAGTTAACTGTCGCATAAAATTAGAATATATTATAACAATATATTATAATATATAATATAGACAATAACAATATTACATTACTTAATAACCGATTTGTTAATATCAACAACTGAAAATCCAACCAGCTTTGCCAACAGCTCTATAAAATATAAAATTGTCAATTTAATATTTTTCCAATTAAAATAATGTGAAATATTTTCAAAAATGTGCTCAATATTCAAATTTAAATTTCAATTCATGTCGCGATATTGCGTTCTATACAAAATATTATACGTGCAATTTTCATCGAATGTTGTCGTTTTCGGGGAAAAAAAAGAAGAAATAAATTTAATAACACGAATGCAGACTGAATAAATTGAACGAAAGTCTGAATGATTATAATGGATTGAATAGATTAAGCAAGTAGTACAAACAAATGGAATAAAGTGGGTCGTCTAGTGCGTTTGATATCCCTCTCGTGTCGAAAACCTCAATCGAGACGAGAAGAACTTCGATATCGCGTTGAAATTCGATGTTTGAACTTGAAAAAAAAAAATCGTTTAAGCCATCCCTGGATAAACTACAAAATAAATAAATAAATAAATGAATAAATAAATGAATAAACTATTCTCGCCTTCTCGATAAAATACAAATAAAGAGATTAGAAAATTGATATAAAAGATCGCATAAAATCATTTATAAAAACATTAATAAAACTTAATAACGAAAGAAGAAGAACAAACGAACGAACGACAGATGGAGAGAAAAAATCGTTTCAAATATTACAATTTTCTTTTTCTTCTTTTTAGAAAACTAATAATATTTTACTTACGACGAATTATTCGTATCGCTTATCGATAAATTTACGGTCGTTGACAGTTTCGAATCTCTCTCTCTCTCTGTCTATTTTCCAGATTACCAGTGACGAGAAGGACGTAGAAGGAAGGAGAAAATATCGGAGGAGGCGATAGCTGGATCCATCGATCCATCGGGTGTAAAGAGAGAAACGGTGGCAATCGTCGGAGCAGGGCACGACGAGAGAGTGGACGGGAGGCAACGCCCTTTTCCCGCCGGGAAGATGAAGGCCAGGCTGGTACGTCGGCTCGTTGCCACGTCCGTGACCTAAGGGCGGAGAGGAGAAGAAGAGGAAGGAGGGAAAGGACGCGGTGGGCCGACGAGCATGACGACGATCGTGGCGAGCAGCGAATCGAGCGAGGTGGTGTCCTCGGTGGACGTGACGACCCTGTTGAACGGCATCTCGACCGAGGAGGGGCAATTCGGGAACGCGAGCTACTCGAGCGAGCAAAAGTTGTCGGTGGCCGTGACGATCGCGAAAGGTTGCCTGATGGGCTCCATCATAGTGACCGCGGTGTTCGGTAATCTGTTGGTGATGGTGTCGGTGATGCGGCACAGGAAGCTGCGGATCATCACCAATTATTTCGTGGTCTCTTTGGCGTTGGCCGACATGTTGGTCGCGATGTTCGCGATGACGTTCAACGCGAGCGTGCAGTTGACCGGCAAATGGCTGTTCGGTTATTTCATGTGCGACGTGTGGAACTCCCTGGACGTGTACTTCAGCACCAGCTCCATCCTCCATCTGATGTGCATCTCGGTGGATCGTTACTGGGCGATCGTGAAACCGCTCAAATATCCTATTATCATGACCAGGAGGCTGGCCGCCTACATGCTGCTCGCCTGTTGGATATTGCCCGCGTTCATCTCGTTCATGCCCATTTTCATGGGGTGGTACACCACGCCTGAGAACAGTATGCGAAGGCAGAATCATCCCGATTTGTGCGAGTTTAAGGTGAACAAGATTTACGTGATATTCTCGTCGAGCATCTCGTTCTGGATACCGTGCACCATCATGACGCTCACGTATTTCGCCGTGTTTAAAGAGGCGAACAGGCAGGAGAAGCAAATGCACAGCAGGATGGGGAACGTGATGCTGTTGAGCCACAGGCCGAGCAAGGATTTGAATAATTTGAACGGGGAGCTCAACAGCGCGGGCTCCTCCAAGACGTTGACGTTGAACGAGATCAGCACCAATCATCTGCACACGCCTACCAAGGACAAGAATATCATGAAGATGAAGAGAGAGCACAAGGCTGCTAGGACGTTAGGCATCATCATGGGTACCTTCATACTCTGCTGGTTGCCCTTCTTCTTGTGGTGCGTCTTCCACGATTCAGGCTCCCGCATCTTGCCGAGGACATACAAATTTTTACGCTTATCTTTTTCCACCCCTCTTTTTTCTTTTTTTTTTTTNTCACCGCTTCTCGTCTCTCCTTTCTTCGTTCTTCCTCTCGAAACAAGTTTTTAAACTGTCCTTAACAGATAGATACGTATACATCATCGTCGTTGATTTAATTCAGGTCCAAGATATTTTTAGATTAATCGTTAGTTTAATTATAACGTGAAAACTGAGTGACGCACATGGATCGTGTTCGGTTAATGGATTCAATTGGTCTCGTTACGATAGCGTACGATTAATTATGCGTGTCTATGGAGATAAGTGGTTTACGCGAAACAACGTTTCGTCCCGATTCCCGTTAGAAACGAGAACACGAGAATAAAAATTTCGAATATATCCGAATACATCCAATTCGCTCTCGTTCCGTCAACAATTTTCGCATACGCGGCACCGGTTCATGTTCCACCGCCATATTCCCAGAGACTCGATCCTCCGATCGAAATGGCGATCGACAACCATTCTCGAGGATGTTCGCGTGTCGTAGAGATCCATTGACGCTGTGAAATCTGTGTTCACAGGTACGTTATCACAACGTTATGCGGAGAATCCTGTCCGTGTCCCGACATCGTGATCGCCCTGCTTTTCTGGATCGGGTACACGAATTCGGCGCTGAACCCGTTGATCTACGCGTACTTCAACCGCGACTTCCGAGAAGCTTTCAAGAATACTCTGCAGTGCGCGTTCTGCTCGCTCTGCAGACGAGAGCCGTCCGATCTCGAGGCGCTCGATTTCCGTCGGCCGTCCCTAAGGTACGATCTGGTCTGACACGTTGAGGTACGCACTACATTCTATCGCTTTTTCTTCTCCCTTTTTTTCTATTTTTCGTCCATCCTGATCCCTCGATAGAATTAGATCTCTTTCTGGCTTCGTACTCCTTCTACAACATGTGGTGCATGATTTATTAACGAGTGGTTGCGGGAATGAATGATCTTACGCTCGCAATTTAGGTTAGACTCCGAGGGACGTGTTTCCTTCGATACGAGTTTTCAACAACGTTCCAATTATTTTGTTCGAAAATTTGAAAGAGGGAAGGATTCGATTAATTTTCTAGAGATGGTTAAATTTTAATTAGGTTACACGAACTCCTTACGTTTGTTCGATGTTTTTATCTTCTTTTCATATTCCACTTTTTCGTAAAGAAAGAAAAGTCTGAATATACGTATTTATTTAAAAATGTTTATATATATATATATATTTCATACATATTCCGCATTTCGATCGTTCGACGATTCCACGATATTAAATTCACCGATATTTTTTTTTTTTTCGCCGATATTTTTATCGTGATATTTCTCTCTTATTTTAAACTTAAATTTTAAATTTTTCGAAGAAGGACGATTTTGTATGCATTAATAATAATAATAATAATCGATATAGAAAGAAATAATTTATCCTTCGTGATCGACGAATAGTTGTAATAACACGAGTGTGATTCGCCGCGTGGAATATAATTTTGGGAAACGAATTCGCGTGTCCACGAATGATTTAATTAACGTTGCCCGATATATACCTTTCTTCCATTTGACAACGTGATTCCCCGTAACTTTATTTCTCGATGAAAATTACGAATCGTGTGTAACTTCACCGCAATTAATTTTGTCAACTGATTAGAGAGATTATGGAAGTTTCACATATTCATTTAATACGATTCGTGATGAAATTTCGTTCCGACGATTGAATATCTCCCTTTCGTAATTTAACTGAAACGATTATATATATTTAAAGTTAAAACAAAAGTATGTGAACCACTATTTTATATGATTACTCATTAATATTAAACTCTAAAATAAAATTTACAAAAATTAATAAAATTTCTTTCAACAAAATTTTGTATTTTTAAACAAACGTTATATTTTTCAAATAATCCCAAAAGATCTATGTAAAAATCCAAATCACTAGAATCCACAGATTTTTCTAAGATTCTAAATGTATCCGAAATGCTTGAAGCTACATTATGTATTCTTCGATTTAAACGATATCTAAACGATTTAATACGAGATAAAAATTTCACCAAGACAAGTTATCGTTAATATTTCTTGTTTGGGTCTCTCGAGTTAATTTTGATATTCTAATATTCGCCGCTCAAAAATCACAAAAATCTATATCTCAAGAGTTATAAAACGAGACGATTAGAACGGTTCAGGAAAGAAGGGATAAACATTATTTTTAATTTCACGCAGGAAAAATAGAACGAGAGGAGATCCTCGACTTTTTCACACGAACGCGGGCATAACTCGAGGAACGCGTACTCATTTCTATCCACGAGCATCTCTCTCTAATCCTTTCTCAAAGTGAATGTTTCTAAAAGAAAAAAAAGGATCGTAAAATTCGACGTAGTTGTCCTGTTCACTCTTCTTCGTTCTTATATTTTTGCTGGTAAATTCTCCTACAACTTCACGATTTGATTAGGTATTGTTCTTCCAAAATGTAATTAAGTATATATTCAGTATAGAATAATATACGTTTAAAACATTTGATCCTCTTCTTGTTCGTCTTGTAATAATGTTTTGATATTTTATAATAGCGGTGAATCGTTATCACACTTTAACGTCACTGTTAAAAATTAAAAATATCGTAAGAAAGCGTAAATGCCTACAGTTCGATCGAAAGTTATATGAATGAAAAAAATAGAAATTCGATAAAAATAAGATACAATTTTTTAAATGAAATATTTTCAAGTATTTCTATTATTTCATTGTTTCTCTTTGTTTTTTCGCTGCTTTGTTACCTCGTAATTAGCGTTTAAAGTTTAGTCGTAAAGCGGTTATAGTGGAAATAAATTAGCTGGAAGCTGAGCGTAACGCGAAAATATTATTTAAATAATTTGCAATGGTGGAAGTAGATCACGTCTTACGTCACGTCTCGTTGTCGTAAAGTTAATTAAACGCGCACTGTACGAATTTATAAATTTTTATTTTATTATAATATTTTAGAAGGACAATGATTCAAAGTGTTGCGAATGATACCATAAAAATTGTTGACAACGATATGAATATTAATAATGGTATATGTTCGAAGAATTTGTCAAATTTTTTTTTTTTTTGATTGAACGCGATTAAATTTTTGATCAATTGATTTTTGATTCAATTTTTGAAATTTATAAATTTAAAAGTTTAGTTAAAAGAAGCGAGAAATGAACAAGTCGACTGGAACGTTCTCAAACCCAACGCTAGAACGCTATATTACCGAGAGATATACAATAACCGAGGATCGAAAAAACAAATTGAAATCAAATTAAATGATAGAAATAAAATCTTCTTCTATTAATGGTTCGGTGATAGTGCAAAGAAGACAAATAATTGAAAATAAGAGACAACATATTACCAACTAATATCGACTAATAACTTATTTGCAATTAAAGTTATTTCGAATAACCAAAATTTGTGTGTAAATATGATATGTATATAATATTATATTATTAATAATCGATTTAATTACATATTTAATTAAACATAATTAAATTGAATTTGATCGAATGTAATAATCGAATGAATGTTGGTATACTTAGTTAATTGCAACGACCGAAAAGTAAAAGTAAAATGATTGAGAGAGTATAGCTAAATCATTTGTGTTGGAACAATTTATATTTTAATCCTATTAGAAATAAATACCCCCCTTTTTCTTTCTTTGCAAGTACTCTTACGTATGCATACAAATTTTAACTTTTAGAAATTATACTTGGAATATTCATAAAATATAGATTTCATTGTATAAGAAAAATGAAAACAAGTACTTTCTTTAGTGACAATTCCACGAAGACTATATGGATAAATCGTAATAAGTTCGTTCTTGTCAATCTTTTAATTTCCATATTACTAATATTTATTACTTCGAAAGAAAATATTAATTTCGAAAATTAAAATTTTATTATTAAATCTGATAGTATCTAAACAATTTCAGATTTTTCATTAATAAGTAAAAAATAATAGAAAATTAAATTTATAACAAAGAGATCACTTATTATGTATTTTTACCATATAGTTTTCAAATGGGACAATCAATGTTACAAGAAAACAATGCGAACAACAGAGAGCCTTTCAACCCAATTGCAAACTTCAGATAAAAATGACAATACTGGTAACAATCATCCCAATTCCTGAATTCGATGAACAATGTCGAAAGTCGAGCAAAACGTATTGGTGCCACTGTCTGTTTCTACTTTCAGGTACGACGATCGCACTAAGAGCATATATTCGGAGACGTACATCAAACACATCGACCGACGAAGATCGAGCGAGTACGGTAGCAGCCTCTGAAAGAAGAGCAATTTTCTACCACCAACTTCACTCGCGATGCAAACAAAAAGAGAGAAAGACACGCATAAACACCTACACACCCACCTAATAATTATACATCCGTATCGTCGCCTACACACGCGTATACACACACATAGAAAACAAGTAAAACGACGCGTCAATCGTCGATTAATATACGTAACGTGTTAGCCTCGAGAGATTCTGCGCCATTTTGCCAAAAACTCGCGGAACACGAATCTTGCCAAGTAAATTGCTCGCGTTTTTATCCATCTGCGTCGCGTGTTTACGGTTTCCGGTAAAAAAATTCCGATCTTCTGTACACGATCCTTGCTCCGTCAAAGCGATTCGAAGAAATCGTAAATCAGTAATGGGGAAAAAAGAAAAGAAAAAAAAGATTTTCGGCGTTAAACCCGAAATATTTCACGAAATATTCAAAGATAGATTTCTTTTTAATGAAAATGTCGTCTGAGATTAATTAAGGACTACGCGAAATAACATATAATCACGCTATATATTCGCGTTCGATCAATCGCGAAAGCAATCAAGCTTAATGATTAAATTCAATAACCGAATATTGTATTTACTCATTGTTTCGTTGTTTTCCAATTTTCCTACGAGATTATCGAACGTGTCAAATATAAAGTTAAATCAGAGACGGTGTTCATTCATTGAGTAATACATGGGAATACGCAAGAAGGAAACAACGCTTTCTTTCCTGGGGAGAGAACGGAGAGTTACGATAACGCGGGTATCGTTTCAAACGCGATGTTACGTAGCGAACAGCCGAGACAGGAAACAAATGTTTATTCCATCGGGATGGAAACTCAAAGGAACCGGAAGCACGCGTGGACAGGGATACGCGAGAGTCATACATCATCGCGAAACGATCACAGAGATGTACACCGAGGACAGGTAGAGATGCGCATGAAACGCATAGGTCACGTTGCATTGCCAAAGATATATATATTCTTAAAATTCTCGCCGAGAAGAGAGACATCCATCGATCGATCGATGGATGGATGAAGGAACGATCACGGAGAGAAGAGAGTCACGAGAAATCGCGTGTTTTGTTTTTCGAGGAATTTGAAAGAAGGATGTTTTCGAGGAAACGGAGCTGATCGTCAAAGACAATTTCGTTCGATTCTCTTTCGATTTTCGAATAAATTGTGATCCTATTGGGTGGCCAAGTGCGCTCGAAATCGGTTGTCGGATGAACTGGAAGAAGCGGAAGATCGATATATTACGAATGAAATTGAACGATCGAAGGATCGATCATAATCGATTGCACAGTTTGGAATGGAATCCACTTTTGATAATCGATTTTATCCGATATTAGACGGTGTACAATAAGAATGAAGGTTCGATAAGAATTAAATAAGAATTCCATATAATTTTTGATTCGTGTTCGAAGGAAAAGTTTGCGTGGAGAGTATAATCTTTGTTATTGTTAATTTAATTAGTTAGATATTGCTCATCGATGATAATGTTATTAC